GGCATACAATTCCCCTCCCCCACCCCACAACATTGACTTATATAGTCTTCCTCCCAGTTTTAGCTTCAACTTAGCATTGTCTTCTCTTGATACTCTTATTAATGTCGTTCTCATGTCTTTCTCTTTTCTTTGTTGCATGTGCTCTTCTCAGTGCTGCGTGATCGGGCTTCGTCTCGACATTTCATGCACTTAGAATTATAATAAATGAAGATAAAGATTATGAGTTAAACATGGTCAACTATCGAGCAATGTACAAATTATGAATTGTTCAAAAAACTTATAAGACTAAGATAATAGATAATTTTATGAGTACATGTAAATAATTTGTATGTAAATATCATATGATCTTATACATTTATAATATTTTATAATCTTGTAAATAATAACATTTTATATATTACATGGTCAAGAGCTACCAAAAAAAATTAAAAAAGTAGAAAAAATAATAGTAAATAAATAAATTTCATATTATTACGGAATTGAATATGTGTTCAATAAAAATGCATATTGTCTAAAATAATTTAATAATAATATACTCCGTGCATCACACGAATATCAATGCTATTCTATATAATTGACCAATTCATATTGCTATAATTGCCATGATTTTGGACTGGAACTTATTTTCGTCTATATTCGACATTTAACTAATCTTTATCAACAAATCTTATGTATATAATAAAATAAATTATTTATTGTATACACAATGACTAATGTTCATTAATTATAAATTGACTTTAATATAACTATTTTGGCCATAAATTTATTAGATATATTTTCAATAAGATCTTAATATTATTTTTATAGTAATTTATTGACACAAAAAATATATACATATGAAAATTCATTTGATTAAATATATTGTCATTTATGGTAGACATTAATTTATCTAATTTTATTCATAGTCCAGAAGTACTTAAAATAAATAATAAAATAATAATAACAACTATGTTTGAATCATACTAACTTAATGAATAATTTCAAATACTAATGAAATTTTCTAAATTGTAGTCAACTTAACCATAAAAGGGTGTTATTCATTGAGTATATCATTTGTAATGAAACATTATGAAAAAATAAATAATATATTAATAAAATTAATATTTGATGGTTGGGTACAATTCAAACTTACAAATTTCACTTTAGGAATATTTATGTAAATTAAAAAACTACTCAAATTTTAGAAAAATATAATTTCTATTATATACTATTTAATAAATGAAAATAAATAAATAAAATAGTGAAATGTCATAATTTAAATTATAGCTTTGTAATCTTGTAAATATATAATATATTAATATTCAAATGGAGACTAATTAACTCATTATATTGGTTAAAAAAATAAATTAAAGAAATAAATAAAACAAGAAATATAAAAATAAAATAAAATATTTAACCATGAAAAATTAGTGTTTTATAAGGACTAAAATTACTAAAAATTAAAATTTAATTATCAAACATTTTAACATTTCATGCACTTAGGATTATAATAAACGAAAACAAATACTACGGGTTAAACGTTGGTCAATTAACAAACAATATGCAAATTATGAATTATTAAAGAATTATAAGACCAAGATAATCAACAATTTCAGAGGTACAGGTAAATAATTTTTATGCAAATATCATATGACCTCATTGGTAGTATTTTATAAAATTATAGAATATGAAATTTATATATTAAATAGTCAAGACTACAAAAAATTTGAAAAATAGAAAAAAATAAATAATAATAATAAAATAGATAAATTTCATATTATTGGTGAATTGAATATTGTGTTAAATAGAAATGCAAATTGGTTTAAATAATTTAATAATAACTAAATAATAAAATATTATTTGTAAATTATAATAATAATATGTGTGTTTTTTTTTTTTTT